AATGAGTGGCTTGATGGTGCTCTAAATCGTGTTGCTCTGCATGAGAGATCTTAATAGAAAGAAAAAAAAATGCATTGAGCGATACTTTGCTAATAGTGTGGAGAGAAGAAGTGTCAATGAGGAGTATGCTGCTTTTTCGGCTAATCTTGATGATTTTCAAATAGTGATGCTATGGTAGATAGATTTCCAATGGAACTGGTGAAATGATGGGTTGTTCATGGAGCTTCCACTCCAACTATTCAATGTTTGGCTTTGAAACTTGCAGGACAACCTTGTTCCTCATCATGTTGTGAAAGAAATTGGTCAACATATAATTTTATACATTCTTTGAGGAGAAATAGGATCGCACCCCAAAGAGCTGAAGACTTGGTATATGTTCACAATAATCTTTGTCTTCTATCTAGGAGGACCAACCTTTATAAAGAAGGTAAATTCAAGATGTGGAATTTGGGTGGGGATGAATTTGATTCTTTGAGTATGGAACATGCGGGTGTGCTCGAAATTGCAAACCTTTGACTTGATGAACCGATTTGGAGGCCGTGATAATGATGACGATGAAGTTCAAGAGGAAATATAAAGAGTGACTTGAAGGCCATTGAGATTTGAATCATGTGTTGTTTTAATTATTATGTTTGCGCTTTAATTATTATGTATGCTGAATGAATTTGACGAACATGAGTACTTTATTATATTATGAATTGGAAGTATTGTTTTTAATAGAGTTTGCAAGACGTATATTTTGTTATGTTGCATGCACAAACAAAATATATGTAAACTGTATGCTACCTCTATTTCTTATGCAAATACATTATATTTTGGAAAACTACGCTAAGAAGTATTTTGTGAATTGATGCATTTCTAGAAATTTTCAAATCTTCCTTTTGTTTTAGTTCCGTGTTACCACATGACATTATTTTGCTTCACTTGCTGGTTATTTGTTAGGCCGTCAAATTTGCATACTGGTTATTGACAAACTCCTCTAGAAGTTTTTAAATTTGCATGAAAATAATTTCAATCCGCTGCACCGTGTGGTCATAAACTCTAGTAGTAAATAATAATTTAGAGGGAGAGAATAATAGGACTAGAGAAAGGGTTCAGTTGTCTAGCTTGATTGATTTTCCCTTGGCCTTATACTTTTATTTATACTAATCATGATGAGCTTTACTTGCCCTCAAAGTAATACAAATCATACAAAAAAAGGAACTTCTAGATCCTATGAGATTCCTACATCTAGTTTACACAATCACATTCATGTTGCAATATTAACTGCGATACTCTCTTTTGAGTGTGTAAATTAAAGAAGCAATCACATCAGGTTTTTAGGCAAATGTGAAAAACAGTTGATGAATTTTTCTCCTCAGGCACAACAATGCATACACAAGTCTCATAAGTAGGGTTCACATAAAAATATAGTCTCACCAAAACCTGCTACAGTAAACCCAATGAGAGGTGCTACGTTATAATTTGTACCCAAGTTCTTAAATTTGACTATAATATTTATATGTATTTAATATAATAATCATTTTACCGGTCAAATGGTGATTCTATTAAATACATATATATTCACAAGAATATCGGAACGCTAGATGATCATTGTATTAATACATGTAAAAATTGTAGTTAGTCTCCAAGTTTAATAGGTTTATTATCACTTAATACTACGGTGTACTTTTTATTTTTTAAATTTCAATTTTGTGAATGACAAGTTTCAAAAAAATATTTAATGGGCCATTTTCCTAAAAAACAGTAATAGTAAATAATTATGGGGTAAAAAAACATAAAACTACCTCAACTATTGGGTCATTAACAGTTTCATACCTCGTCTTTAAAAAGTTTCAATGTTATACCTTATCTTCGAATTTGTTGCAATGTCATACCTTCTGTCAGTTGTCTGTCAATTATTCTGTTAAATGCTGACGTGGCTTGAGACGGAACCCACTTTCTATTAAAAAGTTAATTAAATATTAAAAAAAATTAAAATACAATTATTTAAATATTTTTATAAAAAGAAGGTGGGATCCACCCACCTCATCTTCCCTGACACCTCTCCCCCTTTCTCTCTCGGTCTCACCCCCTTTCTCAATCTCTCCCCCCGCCCCTGATGTGATATATAATAGCACACAAATTAAACCCTCTTATTGACAATTGTAGTAAAGATGTAAGTAGGGATCGTTCTAGTCTGTGGATTAGGAGGGATTGCTAATCTACTCTAAACTGACTTAAAAACACAAAACTAAACTTAAAAACAGAAAACTAGACTCTAAGACTCTTAACTAGACTTATATGACTCAAAATAAACTAATCAAACTCAAAATTCCACAAAACAATAAAAAAGACTCAAAACAAACACTAGGACTTACTTTGGACGAAAATTGAATTGATTTTGACTCAAAACGCTCAAAAACACAAACATGGACAAATTCTAACTAATTTGACACAACAAAGTAAAGGGGATTGTGTTTTTGACGAATTTAAAGTAAATAAGTAAACTTGCAAAAACTAAGTAAAGGGATACGAATTTGGGTGAATCAATGGGTGATAGGCTAGCTAGAGGGTCCTTCTCCACCCATGACACACTTGCATACAAATCGATTTCCAATTGCCTTTTCAATAAACCATGAACCTCAACACCCCAGATTAACCGTGAACAACACTAATTAACCCTCAGATTTTCCTTAAATCATTGAATTGGATAGGATACGCATCGGCAACCAAATTATTCTTCAATAGTTTCCTACATGAACAACATAATAGAGATACAATGAAAGATCATAAGCATTGACAAGGCATTCATAACTATGAACAACATGATACTCCTGCCAGGAATTTACTTAGCACGATCATGACCAACGATCTTCACTACTTGTGAATATAAGTTTGTAACAAATATGTGAAACTCCCTTATATTCTAGCATCAAATTCATGCATGCAAACTAAGTAGGCCTCCTTAATCAACATACAAGAATAAGTTCTTAATCCAACAGTTAAGTAAATTGCATTCACGATTTATGAAATCACAATTGGAAGTAATCAATTCATATTGCAAATATAATCTTGGTTTCAAAGTCTCCTCTAGCTAAAACAAGTTTAGCTCCTCATGTTCAGAATTAAACAAAGAAAACTTAAATTAAACATTGAAAACAAAAGATTGAATACACCTAGAAACGCTCCAACAATCTAACAATCTTGAATGGTAGGCACGGCTCCAAGCTATCCTCTCCTTCCTTACAAAGCTGCGGCACAAGGGTGGTTGTGGTTGAAATTGGGTTGTGGTGTATTATGGTGATGGATGGTATATGGATGTATTGAATGGTTGAATGGGTGAATGAATGAATGGTTAGGGATTTGTAGCAGAAACATATATATGAAGGGAGAAAAGGCAAGGCGTTAATTAAATGTTTTGGGAAAGATTTGGACTCCAAATCCTCAAGAAAAAAGGGTAAATAAAATCAGAATCCCATAGAGAAAAGAGAAGAAGGGTGCGGCAAGGGAATTGGGAAAAGGGGAAGGCCTTGCACGGCAAGGAAAGGGAAGAAAAGGGATAGGTGGTGCGGCATCCCTCTTAGAATGGGATTAGGACTTCTAGAAACATATATTTAGGTGTCCTAAATTAATTAGGGATCCCTTTAGTAGCTGGAACATAAGTAGGAAAAGATTAGGATTGACTAAGTCAAAATAAGGAAGTTTGACTCATTTTTCCTTCTTTATAGCTGATTCCTTTTCTTCCAAGTCTTGAATTAATTTCTTCAACTATTTAGCATATTCCTAGCCTTTCTTGAACTTCAATTTCGTCCATCCACCTTGCTCCATGCATGTGCTATCCATTCCAAGCCCAAAACTGCTCCAAACTGTCCTTTCTTGCCACTTTAGCCAATTGAACCTACAAACACACGAAAATAGCTTAAATCACTATAATAAATAGGAACTAACTCACTAAATGCAAGGAATTAAACTAACAAAGTCGCATAGATATGATCTTATCAGCCCCCACCTTCTTCATATCTCGTTCCCATTCATCAGCTATTCGACGACATTGATCCCATTAGACCTCAAACAAAAAATCAAACCTAATCCAACATCAAATCTCATCATCCTGCCCCTAGAACCCCCAAAAATCAAATCCAAAACCAAAATTTCATCACCTCCAAACCCATCAAGAATCAAATCACATCCCACCTTCTCGACCAATCGCCGTTCTGGGTCGTCAACGCCGACGCCGTGTGCATCGCCCTTACAACCACAAGAGAAAGAGGATGAGGAACACCCACAACAGAACAAATCGCATTCTCCATAGGGGGAATGTCGATGTCGTCTTGGCCGTATGCGTTTTTCCTTGCGTGGGCCTTAAACCCAAACCTGGTAGCGTCTGCATTGGCCTCTTGCTCCTCCATTCTTTGCTTTGGGTGTGGAGATTTGAAGAGAATAGAGAAGACTGGAAGAGAAGGGGGGAGAGATATGGGAAGGTTAGTGAAGCAGGATGAGAAGTAGAAGGGGAGGAACGCCATGGGAGGAAGGAGGAGATGGAGGAAGAAAGGGCGTGCGGCGGTGGGGTTCTGGAGTGAAGGGAGGAAGGGTGCCGGGGAGGGGGGGAGACGAGTAGGAGGGAAGAATGGGGTTCTGGAGTGAAGGGAGGAAGGGTGCGAAAGGGAGGAGACGGGTGGGAGGGAAGGAGGTGGGTGGGTCCCATCTTCTTTTTATAAAAATAGTTAAATAATTGTATTTTAATTTTTTTAATATTTAATTATTTTTTTAATAGAAAATGGGTCATGTCTCAAGCCACGTTAGCATTTAACAGAATAATTGACAGAATGTATGACATTGCAACAAATTCGAAGATAAGGTATGACATTGAAACTTTTTAAAGACTTGGTACGAAACTGTTAATGATCTAATAATTGAGGTAGTTTTATGTAATTTACCCATAATTATGCGCCAAAATTCGGCCCAATGGCTATGTATGTAAATTGAAGAATTGTTGTAGGATAATTCGGGACCAAGACTCAAAGCTCCACCGCCGACCAACACAAATTCTCCGGCGAAGTTCACCTCTATTCTCTTTTATCAATGGATTATCCTCCCGACTCCTTCAATCCAAACAAACGTCTCAAAGAAGAGTTACTATTCTTTCACTCTCTCTAAAATCACCTGCTTCACTAAACTGTTGATTCTTTTTTAATTTAACTTTGTTTTGCGGAATTTGATAACTTTTTCAGGTTTGTGAGCGATTTGAGCGGATCGTCAATGATGGAGATTGCCGCGCTTACCACAATAATCCTTGTAAATTGACCTAATATTTCATATTTCATTTTTCTTCTTCGTCTCGCATTTTTGAGGTTTAGAACAACAATGCTGATGCACTTTTATGTTGTTTGTATTTTTGTTTTTGTGAACTCTGATAGTTTTCTTACGTTGTTGTCAGATTCTGTTACTTCTGCGGCACAACATTGGCTCTCATCGTGTTGTTGGTAAGCCACAAGGACTTCTGTTCTCAAATTAACAAAATATTATCCTTCAAATTATTTGGTTATTGAACAAAACCTTGCCGTTATTGTTGTTGTATGCCTGTGCATGTGCGTGATAGCAGTCACGGTTAGGCGCCATGTCCTGTATGCTAGATCTTACATATATGATAAAAACATCATCTGGCGGTGCTACATTCTAGTCTCCAAAAGAGTCTATCTCATAGTTTCTAACATTATCTTGCTGTGTTTTTGGCAACACGAAATGGAGTCATTCAATTTAGCGTTTATACTGTATCCCTTCACATTACCATAAGCTTCTCATTTCCAAGCTTGTTTGATATGCATTGCAGCTAATATGTTTGTTTTTCTGATATTATTTTTTTTCATGTGATTGTTTTACCATAGATGTGGCATCAAAGAAAAATGATGATGCAGTAGTTGGTTCTAAGGGATGGGCGGCTTACATGGCTTCATTGTCTCTTGGATTTCTTCTCATTATACTTCCTATCGTTTTAGTTTACACTGTAAGTTTTCTTTACTTGACTAATTACGAAAACTTGGAAGGATCCAAGCTTTTAAGTAATCTTTAGAGTGGAGATTGCAATCCTATTTTCTCCACCACTTTTTAAACTTCTGAAAGCAGTGCCGTTGCTCATGAATCGTCAAAGTGTCTCAAAATTGATAGTGTGTAACTGTATATTCTAGAGTCGGGTCTTCTGTTGTGGTCACATTATTTCTTATCCAGGGATACATGTCATATCATATTCACTATGATCATAACTCATGTCAGGTTTTGGCAGAGTGGATGTATATCTGGGCGACTTTGTTGATGTTGTTACTGCATTTCAGTATTCCCCCCATTTTGAGGAGTCATTCATGCCATGTTCACAATGCTAGAAGATGTTTGTATGAGTAGCAGAGTATTTTTATGCTTGGATATAGTAGACTGATTCACAGTTGCGTTCACTTAAATGTAGGTTTGGTTCTTATTCTACTTTGAAGGAGGATCCTTATTCTATAAGGCAAAATATGTTGTCTTACAGAGTCGCTACGGTATGCAGTTTCACTTAGGTCTGCATAGTATAATTTTTGGGAGTTTTAACGAAAAGCCCGCGGTACTATTCACTTTAACGAAAAACCACATTTTTACACTAAAAAGTCAAACTGGTACTATTCATTTTACCCTTTATTTTGTTCTTATCGTTAAAACTCAAAGTTTTCAAGCCCTTTTCATTAGTTTTCCTATAATTTTTTACCAGAAAAAATTTCCTGTAACTTATACTATTTTTTCGTGTGAACAAAAGTAATTGCTGCAGATGATCATCACATGCTTTTGTATCTTGGCTGTTGACTTCAGAATATTCCCTAGAAGATATGCCAAGACTGAGACTTATGGTACTGGCTGGGTAAGAATTTTGCAAGCAATATGGAACGAAACTGCGATCTTCTTAAGCCTATTGTTACAGTGTTGACTTGATTAGACTTTGTTGATTTTCATTAGAGTATAACTTGTACCACCTTACTCTTCACATTGATAAGTCAAATAACATATGTTTAACATCTGTTCCATTGCTAGCATCTCCTTCTGGGTTGCCATCAATTGATGAGTAGTTTCCAATTTGCAGCTAACTTTTTAATTCTGTCTGAGTTTCGCTATCTCTGAATTTCGTTTGATATCATACCACACCCTCATGAATAATTCCTTCATTATTTATCAATAGCCAATATAGGACAAGACTTAGGGATGCAATCATAGGTTACTGGCGCTCAGTAGTTCTCTGGTACTAGTTCCAAATTTTGTTTAGAATAAGAATAGTAGAATTGTCCAAATTTTGTTTAAAATAAGAACGGTAGAATTGTTTCGGATCATATTGTTTCTATCACTTCTTTTTCTTCCTGTGGCTTTATATTAGCTTCTCTTTATTTATTGTTTGTATTTTAGATATTCTATTTTCTTTGAGACCTACATCGCATGTGTTAAACATCTCTACTTAATGAATATCTATTGAGGAAATTAAATTGAGAAATGACCACTTGTGAAAATTTTTCCATACATGAATTTGTCCGATGGATCTTGAGGTTGGCTCATTTGTCATAGCAAATTCCTTAGTTTCACGGCAAGCACGAAATATATCATCAAGTTAGTCATTTATAATTTTGTTGGTTTGGGTGTAACCTCTTAACTCACTCTCTCTCTCTCTCTCTCTCTCTCTCTCTCATGTGAGTGTGTGTGTGTGTGCGCGCATATAGCATACATCTATAAATTTGCAAATGTTTATTTGTTCTAACTCCTAAGATATTCTTTTCTCTTGCATATCTTTTTGAAAGTTTAGACAAACAGCAATAAAAAAAAAAGTTCAGAGAATAACGTGTTTCGGAATAATGGAAATATATGGAGGTTTGAGTGTTCCTCCAAAACTAGCAGCACCCTAATGGAACAAATATCTTAAGACTAGTCTCTTGAAGGTCCCAACTTCCAAGAAATCCTGGGATTATGTTTAAATATTATCATCATTTTTGTTGACTCTTTAATGGTTTGTTTTTTCCTATAGTTTTATATATTTTTGTTTGCATGATATGATCTTGAATGGTATAAACGGACTGCAGTGTCGTCCTGTCGTAGTCTGAAAATATGTTGTTGATGGCATGCTGTTTGTTTATGCTTTTTAAGGTCATGGAAGACTGCTATTCAATCTGCTAGTCCACTAATCATCCTTGGGTTTGTCCATCTTCTGTCTACGACAGGCGTGGACTATCAGGTAGGTTTATGATATCAGGGATTATCAGGTCAATTTGGTATGTACATCGTTGTCATGTCTAGTTTTCAGTTTAAGCCAATTTGACAATGAAGGGTGACCTTTCTATTCAGCTTCTATTGTAATAAGTCATTCCGTTTAAACACTGAAGTGCATTGTGATCATTTCAATACTTTAAGGTGTTCAATAGGCTATTCTATGCTGCATTAATCTCTTTTTGATGTCATGTTATGTTTACATATTGTAGGTTCATGTGGCTGAATATGGAGTGCATTGGAATTTCTTTTTCACACTTTCTGGGGTATCAATTCTTACATCCATAATTAATGTTCCCGCACAGTATTCTGGCATTCTTGGTTCATTAATTCTAGTAGGTATAATCTTATTGTGCAATGTTGTTTTTGGTGTATGCGGTTTATTACTTTTATCCTTTGAGTAGATATAAGACTATTCTTTAGCCTAATTGGTTTTCTATCTCCCAGGTTACCAAGTTTGCTTGATGCATGGGTTAAACTCACATCTGCTTTCTAATGAAAGGGGAGCTGATATAATCAGCCAAAATAAGGAGGGGTTTTTTAGCATATTTGGTAAGTGCTTGAGCTTGAATATTTTTCAAGCTTATTCTATCTTCTGAATAATTTGGACTCTCTGTCAAGTTCAAAGCACAAATTTCTTTATACACCAATAAAAGAAGATGGGATCCATTTATTTAGTCAAGTTGTTAATGTTCTCAAATCGCATGACTGAGTTTGCTTAACGAAATATTCATTTTTTTGTTCTGTTCATAACTGATATAGGTTGGATCATGCTGTAAGAGATATAAGCTTCCCCTTCCATAATGATGTATCATACGAAGTAATTGCACCAAAGAAAACATCACACACGTTCCATTTTATTGCATACTTTCTTTTGGAAAAGCAGCTGATTTAGTGTTATCTTCGCGGTGTATAGGGTTGATGACCCAAGTAAAGTTGTAGTACGATAACCAAATGAATGCTGCACCCAGATTGCTTCTTAGGAAGACTCTAAATCGTAATCTCTGCATATATACAATATGATCATGACGTTTCTCTATGCTTATATATTGAGAGATAAAAGTGATAACAGACAGTAGTATCTCAAGATTGATACTATTGTCTGCACCAAGATTGATGTCCCCAGAACACATTCAGTTTACACTGTTAAGTTCTGCAGACCAGGAGAAAGTACTCTAGATTCAGAGTATAGCAGTTAATGGTTAAGTCGTGTTTGTAATTAATGGAATTTGGTGCTTGGAGCTAAGACTAGTATCTTGCAACTGAGTTGCCGCTTTTAGATTTACTCATTATTAAGAAAATGTACAACAACAACAACAACAAAGCATTATTAAGAAAATCTAGAGGATTTAAAATCTGAATTGAAAAGGAGACGAAGTATGTGCTTGCATTATAAGTATATTTAGCCGGACTTCCAAATTAAATCAAAATACCATATGAAAGTATGTCAATTGTTCTTTTTAATACAATACCCAAGTTATATCTTTTAGGTATTTTAGCCAAAATGGTCCTTGAAATTGGCATAAGTCCTTAATTTGGTCCATGAGATTTGAAATTAATAGAAGTGGTCCCTGAGTTTGTCAAAATCTTTGTTAAATAAGGACCAATATGAAAAAAATTCCCTCAATTTAATAAACAGTGTGCCAAAATGATTTGACAAAATTGAGGGTACTTTTGTCATTTTCTCTTTATTTAACCGAGATTTTTCACAAAATGATTGACGGTGGACAAACTCAGGGACCAATTCTATCGATTTTAAATCTTAGGAACCAAAGTGATGAGTCATGCCAATCTCATGGACCATTTTGGCTAAAACCCTATCTTATATAATGGTATCCCCTTTGAATATGGAAGTTGAAATTTATCATGTAATAAACGATGTCACTAAAATTATCTAGTATCATTGTTATGATCATCACCATTTCCACTAAGCTCATTTAATCCCCTCTCTATATTTCCTAGTGTTATCTGTAACTCAAACAACAAAGTGGAAATTGGTTTCATAAGTTGGCCGTAATGCAGTTGGGTTGCATTTAGTCATATGATGTAATTCATTGAATGACCTAATTGTGGGTATTTGGGGAACGTAAACATCTCTGATATAGCTGGAAAGAACGCCATCTTCTGCTGCGAGGTGAACTGCTGAACAATTGGCATATATTCTTTACAAAACCAATTAGGTTAAACAGAAAAACAGTACAAAAATGCAAGTGTGTTGTTTGCAGATTTTCTTCTTATTGCTTAAAGTAGTTTATTGTTTTCATTCCCAGGATATTGGGGTATGTAGGTTGGATGTAAAATGTTTAAATGGCATGCCCCCTTCTGAAATTGTCGTTGTAATGGATTAATGTTCGTGATTGAAAATGTCCTCATTCATCTTTAGAATATGTTTATCTGTAGAAAACAACAGTTGTACAGAAGACTAACCTCCTTTCAGTTTAACTCCTACTCAAGTTGTCACTCCTTTTTCAGGTGTTGGCAATACTGCTGGTCTCTGATTTTCTCCCCGGAAGTAAAACTTCAGCGATTGAAGAAGCGTATAATCGCAATTTGCTCGGGACGTTTCTTCTGGTATGCTACAGCAAACTTTTTCAAGTTTCTTGTGCCAACCATTAAATGATTGTCTGGTTCAATCAACATTTCTCATGCTTAAAACAATCTCATACTGCTTTTTCGTGCCGGCGAATTTGCTCACGGGTTTGGTGAACTTGATGGTGGATGCCCTGTTTGCATCGGCAGTCAAAGCCCGTTTTATATTAATTGCCTATGCATTTTCGCTGACTTTCATCGTTGGTTTCCTAGATTTTTGGGGCATCCGGTTGAAATTTTGGTAGGTCGGAATTGGAAATCTAATCAGTTAAGGACATGATATCAATGTAATCATCAGAAATTCGTACAAAATTGTTGCTCTCTTGATTACAATGATTTTTTTTTTTTTCTCCCGAGCCACCTATGTGTACAACCGAGGACCCAACTCCCTCCCTCTCTCTCTCTCTCTCTCTCTCTCTCTCTCTCTCTCTCTCTCTCTCTCTCTCTCTCATGGATAGCATTTGACCGACCCTATTGGCACTCTTCATAGTGGTTAAGTTGAGTGTGATAGGACCCAACTCCCTCTCTCTCTCTCTCTCTCTCTCTCTCTCTCTCTCATGGATAGCATTTGACTGACCCTATTGGCACTCTTCATAGTGGTTAAGTTGAGTGTGATAGCAACAGAAAAGAATCAATCACCGCGAGTTTGATTAGTATTACACTATGCTACTATAGCGTAAGTTTGATAAAGATGAGTTATACATTAAGTGTGGGATTCATCTCTTTTCGTTTATTTTGTATGTATCACACTAATAAATTTAATATAGTGAAATAAAAATCACTCTTAAAGCAGATTTTTTGGCACATTGTAAGAATTTGATTCTTACATTATTGATATCACGCTCATTTTTTCGGCCCCACTATGGAAATGTCCTTCTGCAGTGCTAGAATGAAGACCTAAAATATGAAAGCTTCGTATCCTCATTTTACATTACGGAGTAGGTCTAAATAAGTAGTTACTGTTGTAGTAACATACTCATTGATTAGCGTAGTTGTGGGCTTAAAAAATCAGTCGGTTAGCATTTATTGAACTCATAGTAGGTAAAAAAAAAAAGGAGTGAGATACTAATATATTGGACTCATAGGAATTACACTTAAATAGTGGGTCAAAAATTTATGTAATACCAATATAATGAACATGCACTAATGTAGCAGTAGTATTATAAGGTATCCCACTCAGTTACCTGATTCTTATAATAGGTATTTGTAACGACCCCGAAATTTCTAATTCAGAAGCTAATTACTAAGATAGGCCCCAAATTCATTTTCTTAGCAATTTCACTAAAAGATCAATCTTAGGTATTTTATTATGGCTGCATCTAACCTTCTCGTTGGACTGCCTATGTACCTTACTAAGGGATCAAGCTATTCGTTGTTCACATTATGCTTCTAGAACAATATATTAAAATTTCATTTCGATCCAACGGTCGGATCTCCGCCAATCACAACATTCAAGGGGCAGTCAACGTTTTAATTTACTAACTTGCAAATCCAAGTTGGGAAGATCTGAACGCCGGATTCTCGATCCATAAGTTTCTAAGGCCCTCAAATATTATGTACTATAATGTTTCAAAGTTTGGTGACGATCCAACGGTTGAATGGTCGTCAATTATGAAAAATTGTATGGCAGTACAATTCTCCGAAAAATTTGAATATTCAAATCATCGTATCAAATTTCAACGAACGGACTTTGGATATGGGCTCAGGACATCAAGAATGTCCCGCTGTCCAAAATCCATGAAAACAGATTCTCCACCACGCGCCGCTGCACGTGGTGGTTTCCAGCAACCGGAAACCCACTTTTTCATCTAACTCCAAATTCTACCAAAATTTACAGGAAGATAGAGCTCAACAAGAGGAACAAGTTTTATACCTACCACGAAGTCCAAAAGTGGACGGAAGAGGGTCAATTCCGCTGATAAAGTCGACGGGTGCCTAAAGCTTCCCGGTGTCGATTCGTCGCCTACGGTGGTCTAATGGGATCAAAGCTGGTTGGGATTTACTCCTGGGATGATGGGCTACAAAACCCAAGTGGTGACATTGGCCATCGCTTTGCCGATTCACCAGAAAAATGAGAAGGGTGGCCGGAGCACCATTGGTTTTCATCGGTTTTTATGGCCACACACCGCCACATACAATGGTTAATCAAGGTGGTTCTTGGTGAGCTTCAAGATGGTGGTGGTGGCGTCAAAAAATTCCACTGGGGTTGGCCGGAATCGATCTCAGAAAATGGGAGGTCGGGGGAGGTCAAATGGGGGTTTTTCTGGGCTCCCTGGGCCTCTGAACCCGGTTTCTATATATGGAAACCTGCTAATTTAGGCAGAGACTTTGGAAACCTACTACTAATAGTAAGTTCACATGTCTTAAAGGTCTCACTACTTCCGAGGCTCGTAACTTCTTCGTTCTAACTCGGAATTAAGAACGGTTTACACCTACACGCTCGTAGGGTCGTCCTCTATTCAAATATGCCAAGAAATACGATAAAATATATGAGGATAAAATACATCCTTGTATAATTAAGTTAAGTCAACGAGGGACATTTTCGTCATTTCACTTTCCGATAAAAAAAATTCCACATAATCATATATTTTATAATTTTCAGGGTATTACATTCGACCCTCATTAACATAAATCTCGTCCTCGAGATTTCTTCCCTCAAGTAACGAAAAAGGAATGAAAGCTAATTCCACTTATCGTGAATAAAATCATAACCTCAGTCTACGATTTTATTCAAGCCCCAGAAATAAATACT